GACGAGCCAGGGCGGCTATGGACACGCAGTACTGAAGTCCGGCAAATTAGGCTTTTGAAGTTGTTTTATCTCCAAGAAAGTTCTGTTCAGAGTTAAAACTGTTGAAACCAGGACCATTTACACGTCTTCTAGTTCTTCTCCAACAAAATTCTGCTTTTTCCATGTATGGCCAGTTTAATGCAGGGATTACGTCACCGGCTGACAAATTCTGATATCATACTTGTCCATCAGCTCCGTGAAGGAGACACACACGTACTGATGGGGATGTTTTAACTTCGGACTTCTCCATCCCCTGGGAGTGTTGCAAAACAATTCCCCACCAGGACAACAGAGGGCGTAGCACTTTCTGGGGTATCCTGCCACCATTAGTCGTGTATCCAGTCCACGATAGTGCATATGCTTTTGGTATTTCAGAGACTTTGTAACTCAGCTTCATCCTCCTCCGCCTCTTCTTGCGCTCGCCACCTCTAAACCCACGTTTCCCATCATTTCCGTCCACTAATAAAACTCTCGCTGTGTATCTTTATACTCCTTTACTCTCCCAGCTGCCCCGTTTGCCACTAGATATCGTTGGCTTCTAACTTTCTTTTTTTTTTTTGAGGGGAAATGGTGGTCGTGGTAACTAATTTTAAGGAAGCAGCATCCTGGCCAATCACAAACTTGCACTTCTCCTTCGCGTTTGACGGATGTTTAGAAAAGTGGGCTTGACTCTGTTCCCCCTCGCTCACCGGATGGAGAGCCCTCGCAACGATGGATAACGGTGTTGCGTGTCTCCGTAGATGGAGAAGAGCAAATTAGGCCTTTGAAGCTGTTTTATCCCCAAGAAAGTTCTGTTCAGAGTTAAAACTGTTGAAACAGGACCATTTACACGTCTTCTAGTTCTTCTCCAACAAAATTCTGCTTTTTCCATGTATGGCCAGTGCGTTCCTGCACCACCTGCTGTGCCCTGGACACCAGACAACTCAATGTCCGTGGACTGCTAATGTCATTTCCTTTTTACTCTTTCATAGTTTGAGGAGGGGAAAAAATGCACTTTATTCTCAATTCCCTTTGGAACTACTCAATTGCCGCTACAAAGGGGCCATAAAATCTCCTGAATATGCTTTTTGTTTGCATCTTCAAATAGTTTCCCATGCCATAAAGATATTCTCTGTTTCCACAGAGCCAGATGGTAAAGTCGTCAACACTTGGATCTTTTATGCGCTCGGCCAAGCTACCTCCATCCCCATGTGCTTTTCACCTCTGCCAATACATAAAAGGAGTGGTGTTTTTCTGGTCAAATAAAGACTTTTTTTTTCTTCCTCTGCTTTTGCTCTGCAGCTTACTCAGCTTTAGTTCTCTACACCTCTCTCTGCCTTACTACCACATGTCCAGAGGTAAAATATTGGAATTTCTGCCAGAGGCATTAAAAGCTTCATCTGTGGAACAGATTTGTTGAGGCCTGTGAAGTAGGGGGGGGGGGGGGGGGTACAGGGACGAACGGGTGCATTCAGGAGACAATGGAATGACCCTCACTTGCCTTCGCCAGACTACGGTTTGGATGTGTCTACGTTTAATTTTCCTTGAAAGCAAACCAGTGGCGGATCCAGGATTTATCTGTGTATGGGGCCATCAAGGGGCCACAACATTAAAAGAGGGGCCAAGTATTATTCCTACATCCTTACTAAGGTTTCACCCTGGACATTCCTATTTGGCTCATTAGAGCCCCTAGTGTTTGGACTTGGATTTGCATCCAACTATAATCTGATCATCGTGCAAATGACCAATGAGTGACAGGACAGGGGCACTTCAGGTAGCCAATCAGATTTCAGCAGGGACCAATGTTCCTGTGGCCCCGCCCCTAGAACCGACAATGACGCAAACAAATCACAATCTACAAACGCTTTCAGACAATCTTTATGGTTGCATTTCTGTGCAAGTGATTATGCTTTTTATGGATATGTATAGTGCCTCGCATGTCTAAAATTTAGCCAAAGCCTGTGTGCGTGTGTGTGTGTGTGTGCACGCACGTGCGCTCATGCACCAAAAGACACATGGAGACAAACTCAAGTTGTCCTTTTGACAACAAAACAATTCTGATTTGATTTCAACAGATGACGCTGATCCAATACGCTAGGACCTTAAGGTAGAGCAGTCAAATCAACAAGCAGCACGCTTGCTAAGAATTTCTTCATTTCCCCTTTAGGAGCAACATCTCCAAGTCATCTCATGCCAGGTTCGGCTTTTGCCAGAATGTTGACAATCTCCTGTTAATACGAACATCCTGTTGAAAGTCTGCTGAGACTGTTTCGCATATCCTCAAGAATGCCAATAAGCTTAATCCTGTTACAACTTGAAACCATATATAAGAAACCGTCAGAGACTTTCAAATGATTGGAAATCCTTAGAGATTAAAGAATCAAATGCATTCTGGGAAAAAAATAACAACAACAAAAATTTAGTCGTCTAAGGTTTGGTGATTGGTGCACAAGATGCATCGTCAAGAGCGAAATCTTGAAAAATGTCAAGTAACCAAACGCAAATAATAAATGCACATCCACACTTCTCAATGCAAAATGTTGCATAAAGCTGGAAAAAAATTCCTCATTAACGTAATCCACTTGATCCTGTCTTGTAGGTCAAGGCATTGGAAATGTAATGGCATCCTGTTAAGCAGAAGGAGATGTCTGACAAACTAAATCACCCTGAGGAGACGAGAAAGATGCCAAATATTGGGCATATTGAAATTTCTTAGCAGGAGACATTTATTGCCCCAGGTGTGACAATTTTAATTAGTTAATTAGTCCAGTCCTTTTGTAAAGGCATGGTTCACCAGAAAACCATGTTTTAATAATTATTTCTGATTATAATCGGTCACTCTGAGTTGTTCATGCAGGCTGAACATGAAAATAGTCTCCTACATCTATCTCCTGCATTAGCTTCTGATAGAAAATAGATGGTGAAACTCTGGGATTAGAAAATTCTGACAGGTCTGAGTCACACTGTCACTTAAAATTCATGGACTCACCCATCTTAAATCGCAATGAGGAAGGCTGTTTTTGTTTTTGCGTCCTGGAAACAGCAGAGAACGTCTCGGCTAGTTAAAGATAATCGTTGGCATTGGCAACACCACCACACAGAAAAACTCCTCCTGGCTTTTGTTGTTTATGGATTTAAAACACCCACATCGCAAGTCAGTGGTAAAGTATTGCTGTTATCAAATCTGAGGCGAAATGTCCAAATATCAGGAAATAAGACTCCGAATCCGTCTGTCTGCTGCAGCAGACTCGTCCATGTTCATCCAAGCAATTTGGGGCTTTTCTTGCCCTGAGTACGGCTTGCAAGGCATTCATTCCTACCAGAGAACACTAGAAGAAGAAGAAGAAGAAGAAGAAGAAGAAGAAGAAGAAGAAGAAGAAGAAGAAGAAGAGATCTTTTCTAAAGCGCCTCTCAAAATAAAAATAACGAGGCACTTCAGAAAAACAAACAATGCAAAAATATAATTTAGAAAATGGTTAAAATATATTTAAAATGAGCAAAAAAATAGACAATTGTGATTAAAAATGTAAAGAAAGAGAGAGAGTGAACAGGAAAGAGGGAAATGAGTGGATCCTGAGGAAGGTGGAATAGGTGGCGAGAGCAGAATAAAGAGAGAGAGGTGATGAAGGTCATACAAAACCAGCCTGAACAAGTGAGTCTTCAGCTGCTTTTTGAAGGAGACCACTGAGTCCACTGATCTCAGGCTCAGGGGGAGAGAGTTCCAGAGTCTGGGGGCCACAGCAGCAAATGATCTGTCACCTTTGACCTTTAGCCTGGTGCTGCACAACCAGTAGGCTTTGCTCACTGGACCTCAGGGACCTGCTGGGGGTGTAGGGACTGAGAAGATCACCAATGTAAGATGGCGCTCGTCCATGTAAGGCCCTATAGACCAGAACCAGGATCTTGAAATGAACCCTGAAGTTGACTGGCAGCCAGTGGAGCTGGAGGAGAAGCGGGGTGATGTGGGTGTGTTTGGAGGACTTGGTCAGAAGCTGAGCACAGGCGTTCTGAACCACCTGTAGACGGTTCAGGGAGGTTCTGCTCAGACACGTGAAAAGAGAGTTACAGTAGTCTAAGCGTGAGGAGATGAAGGTGTGGAGAACTGTCTCAAGTTCAGAGCGGGACAGAATGGGACTCAGCTCAGCAACGTTCCTGAGATGGAAGAAGGAAGAGCGAACAAGAGAACTGACATGAGAATCCAGGGTGAGAGCTGGGTCAAAGGTCACACCAAGATTCCTGGTGGAAGGTTTGGTGTGAGAAGAAAGCTGACCAAGAGAGTCTCTGACTTTGGGAACCAGCTTGTCTGGAGCACAGATGAGGAATTTCAACACTACAAACATATGGATTAAATGAGTTTCCCAACACCTTTAAGGATACTTCCTAAAGAGGTCAATTATGTCGCAACACTAACCACCAGCAAAATCTGATAGAAACATAGTGTGTTTTCCTTTTTTAACATGCAAAATTAAAACGTTATGAAGGCAAACAGACCAGACTGCACTCACATAAGAACAAAATTCCCTTAAAAATCAATTTACACCAGGAGATACAAACACAACGTATACAAAGTTTGCTTTGCAGCTTCTGTTATGTACACACAGCTGGGATTAAAAAAATGAATAGCAACTTCTCTTGAACAAACCCTCATTGATCATCGATGATCTTCTATTTTTATTATTATAGAATCAACAAAAATATCTAATAAACCTACAGAAGATAATCAAACCTGTGAAGTATTTTAAAGCCACTGATGTGTGATAAAGAGGCTCCTGAGTAGGAAATGTAACCATATCCGATGAAGATCCTCTACGGCGCGTTCACAGTGACCTTTTCTATCTTTGTCATTCCATTCTCATGGGAAATTTTAGTCTGTGTGATGCTGCTGTGGGATGGGACATAAATATAAAAAAGCATGCTCTTTTTTTAATCAGCCTGCTTCACTGTCGAACTACATTATTATGTTTTTATTGTATTTTTTTTACCTTGTAGAGGCGGACGGCAGACTCATGCCTCTGGTTGGTTGCGTGCAGTCTCAGTTTATCAACGCTGTTGCTGTAGTAATCACAGGCGTTGCATTTGAGGTGCACTGGGTTGCCAATGGCCACACACTTTAATCTCCACTGGTTGGCCTTGCCTCCCTCCTTGATGTGGGCCACCAGCTGGTGCTTCTGCATGTGCTTGTCGGTCTTGCAGTGCAGCTGAAAGTTGGCCTTCAGCTGAGTGTTGTAGTTGCAGAGCTTGCACTGGTAGACGTCACCCACCACGCAGCGCCACTCCTCCTCAGGCAGGGAGCGCTCTGCGTTGATGTGGGCATTGAGAGCCTCTAGGCTGTCGGTGGAGTAGCAGTTGCACACGGCACACTGGTACAGGCGAAGCGAGGGGTCACTGATAGGTGGCGACAAGGAGGAGAGGGAGGGGTCTGCTGAGGACATGCCTCCCATTCCACCTGAAGAAACCAGGGACAGATCGTCCGCCATCAGCTGGCCGCTGGCCAGGCGCAGCTCTGCTGATAGGTCATTGTTCACTACAGAGAAAATGAGTGTAAACACAAATTAGACAAAAACAAAATCCCATTTAAGAAGCACATCTTACATGGCACAAAAATTTAGAATGAGGAAGAAAAATAAAGAAACACAAAGATCTAAGGGTGCAAACAGGAGGATTAAGAGTGAGGAAAACCATTCAAAAAGAGGAAAGACACTTTTGGAATAATTGAAATTAAGTGTGGAAAAAAAAAGTGTCTTCCATGCCGGCTTCAGTCACACAAAAGGATTTGTTAAAATAAAGCCTCACAGAGGACTACGGCTACTTGCTAAGTCTTGTCTATAAAAAAAACCTTAATAGGATTGAATCAGGATCAATTACAATCATCCTTTTCAACTTGCTAACTCGCTCATCAGGTAGCTTTAATTACTGCTCTCAGCTATAGTGGCGCGACGGTTTTGGGGCTGTGGGCTTTTCTTGCACCCACACACAGATTTGAAAAGCAGATCAATGCAGGACACATGCGTCGCCTTTCTTCTGTCCGCCACACTTAGAACAAACAAACAGAGCTGGCTTTCATGTGAACGTAATTAACTTTCTCATTTGATCCCTTCATTGTCCCACTTTGGTCCATACCAAAGCTTTTTTCATTGTTTTGTTTGAGCTAGATTACATCAAAACGCGGCACACATCGAAGCAAATACGTCACATGAATACTTTTGATTCTTTTTTTATTAGAAACCGAACTAAAATGTTTAAAAACAACAAGCTTTTAATTAAATTTGTTGGCACAATAGAGAAAAATCTGCCACCGGGTACATTTATGGATGCATTCTGGCTCATAATCTCTGCAGGCGTGCATGCGTGAGTTTGCGTTTGGCCACAAATTCCGATTCAAACCTGTGTATATCTGTGCTCACTATGGGGAGCTGTGAGTTATCAGTGTAATTCACCGCGAGTACATCTGCTAGCTGGGCTGTGACCTCCACACTAGAGGAGGGAGTGGGTGTGCAGCACTGCAGGGTCATTGTTAAATCTCTCTCATTCCTACGGGAATCCGCTTCCTGCTGTTTGAGAGCATGTGTGTGTATCCGTGTTCTCTCCAGCATGAGAAAAGGTTGGTTGGTGTGTGTATTGCGGTGATGGTGGTTGTGTTCTTGGGGGGGGGGGGGGGGGGGGGGCATAAGTGTGTGTGTGTGTGTGTGGAGGGTGGATTAAGCTGACTTAAGAAAACTACAAATGGAAAGATTAAGAATAATTCTCATGTGGCATCTCATAATCATTTTTTAATCAGTGAGAGGGGTCAAAGAAAAGAGACAATGACAGAGGAACCACATGAGCACAGAGATAAGAGGGAAAGAAAAAGAGGAAGGGTAGGGGGCCGAGGCAAAACGGAAAAAAGGAAGGTGAAGGGAGAGAGATAAAAATGAAGAGCAACAAAGAAAACTGATAAATACTTGGATAAATTAGATTAAATTGTTCTTGTTGATTGTGTGTACGTCTAGTTTTAATCACCTAGGCCTGATCCCAGAGCAGCAGCCGTCGCAGGGTCCAGCTGAAAAGGGTTGATCATCATCTGAGCATCCGGCCCACCGTTGCCAGCTGGGTTCTCCAGTTTAACTCCAGCGAGACCCATGTTCTGAGCCAGGTAGTACTGGTAGAGCTCCGCCTCGGCCGGGGCCAAGCCCAGATGGAGGCTGTGCTGGATCTGCTTCATGTTCTGCTGCAGCAGCATCATGTTGTGCATGTGCTTCTCGCTGGTCATGTGGATCCGTAGGTTCCGTGCCACATTCGTCTCATAGTCACATACCTAAAGAACACAAAGTGGGTGTCAGACTCCGCTCATTCAAAAAAGAAAACAACACTACTTTAAAAAAGCTGTTGAAAATAAATTAAAGAAGAATCGTGACCATTTATCGAAAGTATTGAGGCCAAAACAACATTTTAATGGATGATGCCACAATTTTAACGATCACTAGAATGTATAAGGCCTTCAGTTTTATACCAGAAGTCAGATGATTTAGCTAAGAGAAAATAATAGACATAGTGACGCACGGAGAAATAACTGGCTCATTGTGTAGAAAGTGCAACAAACTAATTGGTATGTTGCTACCACATAGCTACAATGATGCCCTGTGTCCTTCATTACCTCGCAACGCCAAGTGGGCTTCTGTTTGGGCTTGGATGGCGATGGTGCGCTGCAGCCTCCACCGAGGCTTGCACTGGGAACAGGGTTGGTATGGTTGTGGTTGAACTGTGCCTCGGTGCCACCGTTCTGGAGTGTTTGAACGTTGTTCAGATGCTTATCCGACTGCATGTGGATGCTAAGGTTTCCTTTGGTGGTGGTTGAGTAATTGCATACCTAAAAGAAAAAGATGATTATATGAAATAATCAAAGCGATGCATGAAATACGTCAAACGCGTCTATCCATGGACGTAATTTGGGGGGGGGGGGGGGGGGGGGGGGGACAGGGGGGACATGTCCCCCCCACATTTTCCAAAGTCAAGTTTTGACCCCCAGTACTTTTTACCATCCAAAAACAATATTACGCTATATTAAATTGAAACTGGTTGAGCTCTAGGACCAAGCGGAAAACAACCGTTTGTGTTGAAGCCTGTTTCCCATTAGAGCATACTGTAAAGATACACCCCCCCACCCACCCCCGTGTCCCCCCCACTTCTAAAGTGAAAATTACGTCCATGCGTCTATCATAGGACGTCCAAAACTTGTCTGACGTGTGATCCTGCACTGAAATGCACAATTTCTTAAACCGTTTTATTATTAAACGCTGGATTTTCAGACACCATTGCTGTCTTGTTATTCATTTGCTAAACTGGACTAATGCCTGTGGCTGAAAAACTGCTCATTGGCATGCAGTATAGATTGTACAATAAATTTCCACTCTGCTTATGTGATATGGGGAGATTGAGGCACATGGCAAACCATCATAAAAATGAATAGCACACTAAAAAAATGAAGACGCTAATTCATTAAAAAAGAAAAAGAAAAGTTTGTGTTTTACTTTGAAAAAATCTGAGACAAAAGGAAAAGACGAAAAGTTATTCAAAGTTAGAAATAAGAAGTGGACAGACCTCACAGCGGAAAGGCTTGTATCCACACGTATAGCTTTCGCCTCTAGCTAAACGAGGGTGAGGCTGTCCCGTGCGGCAGTACGCACATGATCCACCAGATTCTGGATGTTTCTCCTTCATGTGAGCATCCAATGTTTGCTGGTACTTGTAGTGCCAGTTACACTTTGGACACTTGAGTGTCTTGCAGGAGTTGCGGGAATGCATCATTGTCATATGCCCTCCTAGAGACCGCGACGATCCCAAGACTGTGTCACATTTGGGGCACTCCACCCCACTGCCTGGGGATCCTTCACCTGGACCAGGGGTGCCAGGTGTCCCTGGAGTTCCAGGTGTACTGGGGTTTCCTGTGTTGTGATGTAGAGGTCCAGGACTCTCATCGTCTCTGCGCAACATTAACATGTCAAGTGGGTTGGAGGACAGTGAGGACCCATCCCGTCCCGTCAGGCCTTCACTTGTAGAATCATTGCTGCTCTCCCGCTCTCTGGCAGCAGCCAGAGAAGTGGACAAGAGGCTCTTCTCCATCTCCATCTTCTCAGACACAGGCAGTGAGGAGGAGGAGGAGGAGGCAGGGCCTTTACTGTCATGTTTTAACTTAAGCACATTGTTGGAAAGAGGGGAAATACTTTGGTTTAAGAGAGGGAAATCTTTGCTACTGGTGCAGTCAGCCCCCAGGCCCGTCACTGCCATGTTCAAGGCCTGCTCCTCCTCCTCATTTGCCTCCATCTCTACTCCTCCACAAATTGAATAATTGTCCTCATCCTGTTCTGGACTTTCCTCTCCAATCGTACCGGGCTCCCGCTTAATCGGCAGGTACTGGCTCAGGTCCGGCCCATTGGGTTGCAAAGTGCATGTGTCCTTTACGTGGCCTTTGCAGTCACCATCAGAGTTCTGACTTTCCAGGCTGCCACCAGTGGCAGCAGCAGCAGAGCTCCCGCTGGGGGATCTGCGGGCACCAGCCCCTCCCCCGAGGTTTGGGTTGGTCTCAGCCTTTGGCATGTTTTGGGTTCTGGGGGTTTGGTCAGTAGAGGAGCTGCTGGCACTGCCCTTCAGGAAGGCAAAACTTGCCTGAAGAGAATCTGTATTCTCCCCACTAGAGTGGAAAGAATTCCACAAGCCTCGGAGTCCCGTGTCTGGCCCTAGGAAGTTGGCAGGTGAAGGAAAATGGGGTAGCACAGCGTTTGGGGGTTTTTTTGGTTCCAGAAAGCTTATAAGAGGTTCTTTGTCCTTGCCGATGCCCTGGATGATGGCAGAGACATGCTTGTTGCTCAGCAGCTTCTGTTCCTGCTCATTCAGGGTCATGCGGTGGTCATGGACAGCATGTGTCACGAACGAGCGGCTGTAGCCAAAAGACAGCTTGCACAGGAAACACATCAGTACAGGCTTCCTCCGCCCATCAGCCACACAGCCCTCAAACTTAGACAAGTCCACATTGTTGGGGACATCTTTGGACACACAGGAGTTTTTGGCTGCACCATCCGCCGTCAGATAGTCCCTGTCATTCTTATGGCGGAGGTCATAGACACGGAAACTGTGCAACACAGGACCAGCGCCCGACAGCCCTCCAGCTGAGGTATTTGGGAAGGAGGGGTGGTCGGACGCAAGGGATTTATTCCCAAGGGATGAGGCGATGTGGAAGGTGTTGATGATCTGAGGGTAGAAGGACATGGGTGCAGCGGGCTGCTCGAGACGTTCCCTGCCTGGGCTCAGGCCACTTTGACCGCTGTTGCCCTGGGCATTCGGGAAGGTCTGGGGGGACAGCAGGCCTCTAAATTGAAGAGCCCCCGAGAACCCCCCCTGGTTGCCACGCTGCTCTTTGGAGTCCTCCAGGATAAAGGCAGAGCCATCGGGCTGGTAGATGATCTCACCACACAGGTTCTCCACATCACTATCCTCTTCCATCTCACTGTTCATATCGCCTAATTCTGCAGCACCCACCTCATGGTCTCCTTCATCGTCACTCTCTTCCCCTATCATCCCTTCCATCTCCTCATCTTCCTCATGATCTCCAGCAATAGGCAAGCGGGCATTAGGGCAGTGGTGCTCCATATATTTTTGTAAACTGGAGAAGGAATTAGAACATTCGTTGCAGGGGATCTCCTTTGCCGGTGCCACAGGGGATGTGGCAGGGGCAGAACAGTCCGAACCCAAAGCTGCTCCTCCTCCTCCTCCTGGTAAAGTCCCAGTAACTTTCCCTTTGTTACTGGTAGTAAAGCTTTCTCGCCGACTCTGCTCAGATGCAGGATCGATGTTCGCACTGACAGTGGTGGGGGTAGCAGTGGCCCGAAGTGGGCTCAACACAGGCCCTCCATGGCCGTTCTCTGGCTCTCCGGTGGCAAAAGGAGACGACTGGTTGTTGTTGCCATTGTTGCTGTTTGGGACAGCGGTCTCCACAGAGACAACCGAGTTGTCCTCAGCAGCAGCGTCCAACCTCTGGCCACCATATTCCTGCTGCCGTGACGACACCATAGGGGGAGAGTCACAAGTTGCCATAGTAACCACTACATAGGGATCTCATCTCATCCAGCCCAGCAGGGACCTGATAAAAGGAGAAAGACAAAAAAATACATTAAAATCTGTTTAGAGAGTCACGTGTAATTCATAATTATGAAACATTGTTGAAATCTAAATCCTACCAACAATACAAGCCACAAAGCAATTTAGTTTAGGTCAACCGTATCTACAAAAGTATCATCACCTCTTCATTTATTGTACTTTAGCCTAAGTTTTAGTTATTTTTATATTCTGCCCAAAGGAGAGGCAATATGTGTCTCTTATTGATCCCAAAAACCAAATATATTGCATAAAACTAGAACTTAAAACCTTTAGAAACAATGCTCTTAGATGCGGAAAGGCAGAACGCAAGTGCAATTCTATTTATTTTGGCGAATTAACCGAGAAATCAAAGAATGTCTCATTTCAATAAATTATTATCTTTTTTTTGTTTTGTTTAGTGCAGCAAAGGAAAGAAAGAAATAGCCACACTGAGAAAAAACACATCAGTGGACGGGCTTCCATGAGGAATGATGTTTGGAATACCAGTGAGATGCTATCAATCCTGGGCGGCAGCCCATCTTTCAACCCCTCTCTGCCTCTATCTCCTGGCTTTTCACAATAAGGCAAAAATGCTAAGGTACCCGCAAACACACAGCAAATGAATATCCTCTAAAACGCACAAGAAAACGTGTTCAAGCTCTAAACTTTTAAGTTTAGGAGCAATCACTCCATCCTAGCTCAGCTAAGCACAACAAATAAGGAGAAGCTGATACAGTACCCGCATGTTTTAGATGATTTCGTGTAAATGAGCCAACATTAAAAGAAAGCTATAAAGAGCCATGTTAACCTTTGACCCAGTCCACTTGCTGCTCAATTCCCTCCCTTTTCTGCACTGCTTTTTCCTCAAACTAAGCTACAAAGCAATTAGAGGATTAATCCACAACAATCCAGGGCTAAACAAAGCCGGTGGGAGGGACGGTAAAAGCGTGAGGAATGAAATTAAAAAACAAGCACAAAAAAAAAGGTGAATGTGAGCATGTGTGTTTTGACAGTGCATGAATGTGCAAGCGCTCCAATCGGGTTTTAATCTGATATATCCCAGAGATGATTCCATGGGACTAGTAGCAGATAAAAAGGGAGAAATTAAGTTTTCTCTCGGTTTGTTCATCAGATTAAATAAAAAAATATCACTAAGGAGAAAATGAATTTCTGTGCTTATCAGTTGATAGCAAATGTGTGACACGTACATGACAAAATCAATTCCCTGGCATAAAACTCAGACCTGGAGGTCATTTATTTGCAAATAATATAAAATTAAAGTATTTTAAAAAGGCTTTTGCTTGTTTTGCTCGAGGCAAACATTCAGACGGTTAGCTGTGGTCTTCTGGAGCACACACCTCCATATGCAAACATGTGTTTTCATGTTAACTCTAATTGTAATTGCACAAACATTAGCAACAATTACCCTGCATTTTGAGCAAGGAGATGAAACGGGGGAAGCAAACAACAAATATGTGAAAATAAAAGCATGCACGCCCTTCTGAGTAATGCACGTATTCATCTGTAGAAGCTAGGGGTGGTAGGAAAGAGTAAAAAGTACTTTTTAGCATGACATTACCCCTCTGTTTTAGTTACATGGTACCAGAATACAGTTATTGCTGTTTGACATTGGTATAAATCCTTAAAACTCTCATCCAGCAGCTGCGATCCAAAGGCCTGCGTTCCGTGTGATTTTGCGGGTAAAGCTGCTCAGAAGCGGTGGGTTCGAGGGCTAATGCGGCACATGCGACGGGATTTACGGCTTGTCAGTGGTGTCACTTTGCCGCTTATTTCATTGGGGAGCAACCCCCTTTGAATTGTAGCTTGGACATAAAACACTGTGCTTTATGAATTATGCATCTCTTTAAGAATGGAATTATGTCTCCTGGTTAAGCCAGTGTGTTAAACACTTGGCACTGACACATCCTCCCCCTAACGCTAACAGGTTAAGAGCTGTTTACATGTGTTGCGCCTGCCAACAATAACATAACCGTCCATTACTTTTGTTACCTCCGACTCTAATGGAACCCATTAGCGACGTCTTAAATTTATGCGTTTTTGCTTCGGGTTGCGACTGCATCGCGCATTAAAGTCTTTTTTTCAGACAAAATTATTATAAAATACTTAAAATACAAGTTAGAATCCTTCGTATGCCTTCACACCTTTCTCAGCAGCACTTGTCCTTCTTTTAAGGTAAATCATATTACTGCTAGCTAAAAACATTCCTCCTTCCACCCCCCCAGGCTTCCTCCGCTCTGCTAACCAACCAGGCTACTTCCATTTTCAAGGGAGACACAGACAGACAGATACATGGAGAGAAACTAACAATGAAGGGTTTTCCACACCACCGAAACAGTTCCCGTCTTTTAACAGGAGAACAAAAGAGGTGGCCTGAGCTGCTCCTACCTCTGTTTTTTAATTAAGCATGTCCCCTTGCTTTCACACGTATGCACACGGACACAGGCGGACAAACACACACCCACACACGAGCACGCACAGGCAGAGACGGACACACATAACATTAAGGTAATTAAAGTGGCAGATCAGATCTAGTGAGGGGCAAACAATAGCACAGGAATGCCTGCTTTGGACACTGCAAGTTGTGATGGGTGAAAAGGGGCAAAGAGACTCCGTAGTCTTTTGTTTTTCTCTGCCCGCCCCTTTGCTCTCTTTCCCCATCCCTCCATCTGCTTTCCAGGAGACCCCTAAGAGGCAGTCTGGGTGAAGGAAGGGATTCCTTCTTTGTTTATTTGGGACTTTTCATCTTTCTGCCTCGCTCTGGGTCAGTAACCCTAACCCTAACTACGAGTTACAAGCCTAATCATAAGCAAGTCACTTGTGGACTACAAATTTGATCGAGCCTCCGTCAGTGAAATAAAAGTGCTGAAACGACAAAACGCTCCGACAGCGTGCCAACATCTCAGACCTGAGCAATTGAGCAGGGGGTGATGTCAGAGTCTCCTCCCATTTTTGTTGTCTTGTCAGACTATCAGGTATTAGCCGGAGCAGCAGCCTGTTATATGTCAAGCCTGTAATTGCAGTGTCGCCACACGGCCGTCTTTGTTTACAAAGGGATCTGCTGGGTTCAGATTCCTCATCTCCGACTGTCTGACATTTTAATGCAAAGGCAGCAAGTGCTATTAATATACCGGCGAATATTTACAGTGGTTGTAAACACAGGAATTAGACGCATCCTTGGTCTGTCATGTGATTCAGGTTTCTCCAAATGGTTGGTGCAACGTCTACTGAGCGGTAAGAATGCACCCAGAGTGAAGTTTTGAGCAGGAAAAGTCAAACAACAAAGTCATTGGACAGCACGGAGCTACAACCATGTGTCCATTCCTTTCGGGTCGGGTCTCCCGGAAGGTCGGCTCTATCCCTGCATGTGGCCCCCTCGGTCTAACACCAAATCTTCTATCAAAATGTCACATAGCGTTAGCGAAAGAACAAGGGGAGAGACGGCATGAAAGCCCCTGCATCTATCTCCCACTGCCAGCACCGTGAATGGGCCTGCTCTGCACTAATTAGACCTGTTTGTTTGTTGCCGTGCAGAAAAAAAAAAAATAAGTGAAGGGATGAAAAACGAGGTGGATGAAGGTGGAGGGGAATTATCTTCTAGCTCACAATGCAGGAGAAGCTTCGGCTCCCATCAGAGAGCAGCGATGCACAAACACACGTGCACACAATCACGGAAAAAAGAAAGGAAAGAACGGAGGGGAGAGTTCCAAAGGGGCTTTTGCGTGACCAACTGTCTTTTGTCTTTCCAACCTCATGGGGGGGGGGGGGGGGGGGGGGTAATGCAGCCCTTGCTTGTTGCCTGGAGGCGTAATATTAGACACAAGTTTGAGTAGGATCTCGCTAGTTCCCCTCACACCCTTTTTCTGTCTGCCTGTCGTCTTCCTTATGTCTCACTTGTGAGCAAAGGCCTTCATTACCAAAAGACACCTGATCATTATTGCACGGCACGGCCCAGACACCTACAGCGCCACGTCATTTAGCACAGGAACCATGTTGGACAAATTACCCTCCCTGCTGCATGGCTTTAAGCAAACTCCAGAATCCAGATTTTATTCTGCATGATCAATGATCTTGGACAGTAGACTGAAGCAAAAGTAGAAAAAGGAGTGAGGAGGGGGATGCAGAGGACAGAAGGGGCTTTTATCCTTGTCTTTTCTCAGGTCAGGTATGCAGGCTCTACCCCGACGGCCGATGACAAGTAAATTGGTTTCATTGGTTGCTCAGGTAACTTTAGACCCAACCGGCCCCCAGGCTCACACCTGATATTTCATTGTTGGGTTTAAAACAGGAGGATGAAAAGGAAAAAAGTGACAGATTAAATAATTATAGCCAACAAAAGACGTATAAAGCTGTATGCAAACATATGCAAAAGCCCAAATGGGAAAAAGCTCGTTGAACCCAGGGGCTGTGTTGCTTTATTTCCTCTTCAACTAAACATTGTTTTCTAAGTTTGATTTGAAGTCCGATAACAGATGTAACTCCAGCCAAACAGACCAGAACGCCTCGCTTTCCAGAAACCGCTGAGACGCACCCCCTCTGACAGTCTCAGCTCCGTTTATTTCCACAAGTTTTTCATGGTGACACTGGTGTTTATCCTGGGTCGGTGTCAGTGTTTATCTGCTGCTAGTACAGCTTCATAGAGACAAAGTTTACCGGATTAAAGACAACTTTGACTGGATTTAACATTCTTACAAATGGACTTTGGGCTTACGCAGTCCAGTCTAAATATATGCACAAGCCTCACGCCTTTGAAGAAGCTAAATTTCAAGCTAAACTCAAACTGAAACATCAAAATAAACAGTCAGACTGTGCTGGGTCACAGTCACCACTTACTGCCCGTGCTAAAGATTTTCCCAGCATCAAAGGGAAAGCCAATCTACATAGCTAATGCCTCCACTTCTTTTTCCGTTTTCCCCTCCCTTTGCTCAAACACCAAAGACTGGGGAGAGTAAAAAAAAAAAAGGGGATTTTTCTTTTGCCGACAAT